CAAAAAAAGTGTCTGCACTCACATATATTCAATCGGTGATATGTCAAACTGTTCACACAATAATAGCGGCGATCTGTGCTCAAACACATGTACGGAGTCAAACTGCCAGTCTGTATTTTCTTTGCTCAATAGTCTTCGTTTTGGTAGCTGTGTTGTAATCCAGGCTTTTCTACTGTGATCCACACTATTTTCGCCAAAACTTCACCACTTCTGACACCATGTTATGGGTTCTGTTCATTGAAGATAATTAATGACAAGACGAGTGACTGAACACTGACAGCATATCTAAGACGCCATGTTTATATTATACACCGAGAGGTCAGAAAGAGGCTGCATACATTAAGTGTATAAACAAGCGGGTTATCAGTATGGACGCTGAGGGCGCCATATCTTACATAAGGCTAACTCCCTAACAGTAAATAAAAGTAAATAAAAGTCTTACCATTCCAGTATCATGTGTGCTTCATCTATAGCAATGCAAGATAGGTGTTTATTCTTTGACAAATTATTCATCAACAAGTCTCCTTTCCGTGTACTGATCAGAGCTTCTGGGTGCGCATAAATAACTTGGTATTTTCCTGATGCAACATCTTCTAAGGAAACCAATGTTGATATCTCTTGTGCATCACTAATTTCCTCATCATCCATATCATCATCAATGTCGTCCACTAGAAATGTTTCTGCTTGGGTACATTGGTAATCTAAAGCACAAGATTTAATCCCCATCTTGGATAAGGAGGTACACTGATCTACCATTATACTGTTAAGTGGGGTGATCACTATTACACACGATTTAATATCAGCAAGTGGGATACCCCTCTTCAAACTAGTGACAAAAGGAGCTAGTTGGTAGATGATGCTTTTACCAAAACCTGTAGGAAGGATGGCCATTACATCCCTTTTTTCAAGCAAAGCTACTAAGCAGTCGATTTGTTGTTGCTTGGGGCCCTTCTTAAAACCTATGAAGGTTCTTGATTCCTCAATTATCTGTTTATCTTCCATAATGCATGCAGATCGCCACCTGTGTTGACACAATGCCCTAATAATATTGAGAAAAATTAGACCTTTGACCTCCCAATTTACGTGCATTTTAATGTTAATAAAATAAGACATTCTGATGAGTGTTGTGCGTTATTTTAATTGATCAACTCATTAAAGATTAAATCTTGCTAAAAATCGGGAGAGAATGTGTTCAAAATAAGAAAAATACTTGTATATAGTTCCGCGGAAGAAACTCTGAGTAAACTGGTGGCGGATGGATATTTAGCCTTTAGAGGCTAGTTATGCGTCATAAGACACAGGTCTGTGCTGAATAGCGCCACCTGTGTTGACACAATGATCTGATCGCATTCGTATACGCCATTGTACATAGCCGTTCATGCTGCCAAGCATTGTGTACTACTAGTATAAACTCAACTTTTATATGCACCATGTGCTTTTTAGAACTTGGGTTAGAGCATTATGCGTTTGAACCACAGTATTCTGAGAGTGGAAGCCCAATTGCGTTAAAGTACCGTACTTCCGATCGTAAGCCCCTCCCGAGTATGAATCCCATCCCTCTATTTTTACTAGGTATTTATCGAGTTGAGGGCATTCACGATTATAAGCCCACAGTGTTTTTACTGGGCGTCGACGATATTCTTTAAAATATGCGTGTAAAAAGT